TGATTATCGGCATTCTCTTTTCCAACACCAGTCACTGGCCATTTAATCTAAAACACAAATTCTTCCATAATAACAGCCTTTTGACAAAATCGGCCCATTAAAGGCACTTATGTGGCGCCTGATTTCAATGCCTGATGCAAATCAGTCCACACATCAAACAATCTAAACCCATAAGAGATTTGCGCCTTCTCATCAATATCTGGTCGTATAGCAGATTGTGTCAACAATCCGATGCTTCAATTGTGATGTTGTTCCTTTTGAGTGAAGAAATTCATCGGGTTGATCAAGCCTTGAATAAATCAGCAAAACGCGATTTACGTTCGCATTTGCACGGGCTTTTTGTGTTCGCCTGCCAATACATGAATGAGGAATTGTTCGATTTTTGAAAAATCCATCAGTGCAATCGAATGGAGCAAATCTAAACATGTGCAGGACTGGTGAGGTCGACCAATAAACATCTCGCTAATTTCAAGAATTCCTAGATTCATTTGTTATAATGGAATTTTTCGCGTTCACAAGGAAACAATTAGTCGTAAAGTCGAGCTGATTTAATTTGCCAGTCGCAGGATGTTTCTCAACTGATGCTTATTTGGCCGGCTTGATGACTCCTATATAAATGTTAAAACCAATTTGAGAAATAATATACCGAGACAAGGAAGTGTTCAGCTTAATTAGGTCAAAATGTACCTGGGTCGGAGGTTAATGCCTTAAATCGCTCCTATGCATCGACAATTTCTTCTGCCAATATGGACGAAAATAATCAGCAGCAATGTTAATATTAAATTAATTTCGTGATTTCGCAGTGAAGCAATTCAAGTAACCGTCAGATGAGTTTGACCAATCCACATAATGAAAACTTCTAATACACATTTACTATTTATTTCAGCAAATAATTGCCAAACAATGGCCACATAATTTAAGCAAAATCACCTATTATACGATTTTCGTCTATGGCCGCCGGCCTACATGTTGACGAAATAATCCCCGTAAATTTAGAGCACACTTCCTAGCCATTGTTAAGTTCATTTAACGGCGATTAGCTCTTCACATTTTTCTAGATTCAATATACTGTTAATTTTGCGGGTTTCCTCATCCACATCGTTTACCTGTTGACTGACTACACAATGCTTTTCAATTTGCTGACTTCTTCATTTGCCCGATAAACCATCGATATTTATTGTGTTGAAGATCGCTTCGTCTTCAGCTAGTTGAACAGGCGGAAGCTTTTGTTGATTGCTGTTAATTAATGCTCTTTGGATTTTGTAAGAAAGTGTCGAAATGGATCCATCCATTTTAATCACCCCTCGTAGCATAGTTGATCAAGCCGATCAGGCCCGAGAGCATTCGGCGCACTTCGTCCCAATGCGTCGGAGTGAGGGCAACGTATCAAACGTCACAGCAAAGCCTGTTGTCTTTGTCTTCCCTGTTCCCTATATCAGAGCTGATCGAAAAGTGCTCCAGCAAGCAAATGATTGACTTTTGAAACAAGTGCCATTTCGCAACTGAGCTCAAAGCGACTTCTTGAATAAAAACGGATTGTCACTGAACTCGGTTTGTTTATATTTTTAATTCAATCATCCTCTTTCAATTAACGATGGATTTTGCAATCGACGCGGAATAAAGACGATGCTTTGATCAGTTTGTAGTTCAAGTGGCCGATTGAAAGCTAGATCGGCTTTTTTTGTTGATAATATTATGAATCAAAGTAAGGATGATTGTCCTTGTGACCAAATCAGGACAGCATTTGCGTTTGCAAAAGATGTGGTCGTACCATTCAGAGAAAATCAATATGATATCGAATTGGCATCGATTATGCTTTATTTGTCGGCTGGTTAAGTGTCATAATTATTTACGAGGAATTAATATCGTGGGATAAATCAAACAGACTTCGTACATATGGGGTAAAACGTCCAAATATGGCATCAGCGCACTTCAAAGCTTTGAAACTTTGTTCTATTTGTGTTCATAAAGAATGCTACTCATTAATAAAACATGAATGTTGAATCTATTTTTACGTTCATGAGGTCGCTGAATGTCCATCTCGAAGTGGAAATGGGAGGAAATGAGGCATTTTGTTGGTGATCAGTTGGAACGATTTAAATGTCAAAAATGTCGCAACAACAATTGAAACTAGTCCGCAACAAGAACCAGCAATAATTAACTGAAGAACTATTTATTTGGATGGATGTTTAATTAAACATTATTGTGACACTCCTTATAAGCGCTTTGTAGTAATCAGCACGTTTCAGTGTTAGTTAATGAGTGCAATGTCAATTATTTGTTATAATAATGTTCGTGTTTGGTTGCGAGAAGTCGGCTAATGTTTTTTGAAACTATTGGAAAAATTGAAATTAAAAATATCTGGCCTTCGCGGGCATTTTTTAAACAAATTAAGAATCTCGGGCTTTTAAAGCATTGCAGATGGGGATTTAGTTCGCGTGGACTAATTCGAATCAATTAAATGAAACCGAGTTTGCCAGTTAAGAACGTAGCTGGCATCGGTTTTCTCTGTCGCACGTATAGGATTCTATAAAGGACGCAAGATGCACTGCGGCTAGGCATGTTCCAAATTGATACCTTTGCGGCTTATAATATCCGAGTTTTGAGTCAATATAAATGTTAATTGTCAACGCTAGTCAACTTTGCGCAGCCGTTCAAGTAAAATCCGGTACAAAGAGTTGTTGATTTGTTGATTTTTTTCTGTTTTTAGGCCCAAGGCGCAAGCCCCCATTTTCACACAGTTGCCAATATTTTTCAACTGAAGCGTTTTCTCAAACAACTACAAATATTTCCCCGATTGTTGTTGAAAAACTGAAGTTTCAATTTTTGGCGCAGTTTTATCTGGATAAATTTTCGAAAAAACCGTTTTACAACTAGCATTTTGTAACCTAGTTTAACATGTGAACCGCAGAAAAATCTATGTAAAAATACCATCACGAGCTTGTATTTTTATTATCGCACAAATCGAATTGACACTGAACTGATGGCATTTTGCAACCTCCTGTTAACCAGACGATTTTTTCACTGTAACAAAATCTAGATCGGTTTTAATTGTCTGAAGCATAGAGGATTAATTACGCAAAGAAGAACTAACTAATAGGTGAAGGATTATGCAATTGCCTGAATTTTAGCATTCATTTGAATAACAATGACAAAAGTACACCAATTTTCAGCTTTTGTCATTCGCTGTTAAATGGGCTGTTCGAGTAATTGCTCCTAATCTTTTGGTTTATTTAGCCTTTCTAATCCTCTCTGACGATTGTTACGCGTTGAATTTGCGGCATTGATCTTCTGAAAAGACGATATTTAGCTACTGTTTTAAACATTTTTTTAACTATTCAAGCAGTTTTATTGTGCAACTGATCCCGCAAAGTCTAAGTAAAAACCATATGTTGCATCCAAATCAATAAAGTTTAAGGCTTTTTCAATAAGGAAAATAATATTTAACCGCCTGAGAAGAATCTTGCACTTAGCGCTTGAAGTGCCCAAAACTAGATCGTTGCCATATCGAGTGAAATTGGCTGATTCTGAAATGCCATTAGCTGATTGTTCAATTGGTGTCTGTAGAACGTGTTGATCGCATTAGGAAATTTAGTGCAACTTTGTTTAGGCAACAGCCGTGTAGAGAATAGACATGTGGGAAATGGTCAATTTTCACTCTCTTGCAGCATCATTTTTTTCAGAAGTTGTCTCGGGTAAAGGGCGAAAATTGCAATTCTTCAATAGCTAAGAATTATTTTGATTAAACCGTCAGCTCATCATGATCCACTTTAGATTGTTCGCATCGCAGGTAAATCAGTCACGAAGTTGATTACATGAACGCACTTATAATTGTAACATCAGTGATATCATCATACGAATACTCTTCTTGTAATGGCCAGGATGACCTTAATGGGTGTATTTTACCAGCGGGCGCATCTTTACTGAAAATCGGATCATAAATTTAATGACCGCGAGTAAAATGAGGAAACCTTTTGCATTTAATCCACTTATACAGGGAGTTGTATTGAAGAGAATTACTAGATGAATAGTCATCCACTGAAGAATGAACCAGAGTTAAATAATTCTTGGTGGCTACTGAAGGTTTTCTATGTGGGTGGAACACTGATTCTTTCGGATTGTTTTACTTACAAATAATATTAAGACGCCCACACCCGTTGGGATTTATTTGATAAATAACACGCTCATTTTGATGGTTTAATGGGAGCTAAACAATGCCAAATTGTTGGTGACCTACGCATTAATTTTCGGTTTGGGTTCATTGATAGAAAAGCACTTTTCTGGCATTGAAGCGAAGAATGGCAAAATGTTTGGGATTCAAGGCACCAAAATCAAGCAAAACCAGATCTCAAGGATTTTGCAACTTCAGTAAAACGGGAAAATATCACTGGAAATACGCTGAAACTTTCATTTTGCCAAAAAGATTTGCAGAATATTGCCAGCCGTTCGAACCAACAATA